TTCTATTTTAAAAACACACACTTAAGTCAAAATTATTAATTTTATTATAATATTCTAAAAAGATACTCTTTAATTAAAATTTATATTAAAATACTTTTTATTTACCAGTTTACATTCCATATTATTAAATTCATAAATTTTGACTAAAAAGTTTTGAAGAATTTAAATTTTTTTCTTTTCCTTAATTTTATTTTTTATTTTTATCAATTGTTATTTGTTTAGTATTTTTACCATATTGGGATGAAAAATTAATTAATTAAATTAATATAGACATAAAAACCTTGCATAAAAATTTGATTAATTCTTTTAATAAATATATAATAGACTAAATATGTCATAAATATTTTTAACAAAATTTTTATTTAAAAATTTTAAATTATAAATTTAAATGATTTTTATAGTCTCTTAAACTTAGACAATTTATATTATATGATGAAAAAAATATTTATTTAATATATTTTCTATCCATTTAAAAGAACCTAGATAAATAAGTTTCATTATGTGTTATATCAAAAATTATTTTTTTGACAAATATAATTTTTAAATAACTTTTACACTAAGGAGGAGTATTTTGATCAAGTTAAAGTTTAAAAGTCAAACTTAACGGTTGCATAATAGTTGTATAAATAGAAATAAAATATTAAATATACAAAGAAAGTTTGTGTAATATGCATTTTAATTTTAAAAGAGGTTTATATACATTTTCAGATAGGAGATTTCTGTAATTTAGATAAAATAGAGGGGTAGTTAGAGTATTTTACTCTATCTATTTATATTATAATTGATGATTAACTGTGCAGATTGCAAAATACTAATTATAATTTCATTTGTCTGTGACGAAAGAAAAGTGGGAAAACAGATAATTAGCCACATCATTGACGGTTAATTGAAATTCTTTTTGAGAAATTAAATACAAAATTTTCTACTAGATTAAAATGATTTCTTTTTTGGAGAAATTAACTAATTAAAGTTCATACAGCATATAGGATCATATCTATTTCCACTTTAATACAAAAATGTTTTTTAATGAGTTGTTGTTTTTAGAGACAAAATAAATGATAATGAAATTAACAACTTTTCAATAAATTGATGTATTGTAAAAATGGTATGGTATTAAATTAAAACGAGCTTTCTGAGAAATTGAAATAGACGCACAGAGATATAATTAAACACGATCAACCTCCATAGAATTTTTTCCTTCTAATTTTAATAATGCGATTATTGTTGCTCATTTTTCATATATACTCTATATAATACAGAGGAACATATCTACTTTGATACTAAATTATTGTTTTCAGAGACAAAATAAATGACAATGAAATAACTTTTGAAAACAATCAATGTATAATGAAAAAAAAAAGATATTACTTTAAAAATAATTATTTTGATAAATTGATCTGCGTGTGTGTGTGTAAAAGTAAAACAATTTAAATTCCACGCACTGTGAAGCTCAAAGTAAAATAACTTTGCATACAAAAAGTTTCAACTTCCAATTCTTGATCTAGATACCAAAGACTATTGATTATCTTTTACTCAAGCCAATCACCATTAGCAACTGGACTTGGTATATGATCATTTATGAACTAAAATTGGGCAAAGATCCCTTTCTTTTTTAAGTTTTTTTTGTGTCAAAAAAGGTAGGCATATGAAAGTTTTTTTTTTAGGGTTTAACGTGGCCTCAAAAGTATTAAAACAAAAACATTGTTGCCCTACTAGCCGTACCAATGCATGACACGTATAATAATTACACATGACCATGACTGTGCTTTTTTTGGTGGACACTGATTTTTTTTTTTGACATTTCTTGATACTTTTTAAAAAAAATTGAACCTTAAACCAATAAATTAAAAAAGGACACGGGCTTTTGTGATTTTGATCTTGCAGTAATGAAGACGAAAAGAAAAAAGGGCAAAAGAAAAGTAAAAAGGAGTTTGAATAAGAAAGGATTGTTGACTGCTTCCATTGGAAGATTCGCATTCCACACCACAAACGAGCAAAGACCGACTCGAAACTTGAAAGATACACAGCCGCGACGCGTATTACCACTTTCTTCTTCTTCTCACGCGTCTCCCCCCCAAACACACTCTTTTCAACCACGAGCTGGGAAATTAAATTACTTTGTCCCCATTTGATTCTTAATCCTTTTAATTAATTAGTTTCTTTTCTTAGAAATTTTTACTACTTTTTTATTTGAATGAAATTGAATAAAAAAGGCATTACCTTTTAATTCTTGATGACAAAAAATGACAATTCAAATTAAAAAATTTGTAAGATCTTTTTTTCCCCCATGTTATTTGAATATTCTAGCCAATATTTGTAATTAGATTTATATTTATTTTGCTACACAAAAATAATATTTCTTGATGCTTGGCTTTTTGTTATAAGTTGAAAATGTAAATTTTTTTTTGAAAAAAAAAACTTATGCATATTTAAAAAAATTTGTATCTTTAAAATGGATAGTTTCAAAATATTGAATTTTATAGATAGATTTTTTTTTTAATCGTCAGTAGTCATCTTAATTTTTGTTGTAGAAAGGGAGTATATTAGTTTATTATTATCAAAACAATTTTGTTGTAGAGTAATACATTAAATTAAATGAATTTTTAAATTTTTTATCAAAACAATTTTCTTCAACTTTCTTTTTGTATCAAATCACATGATATCCTAGATTTTGAAATTTAAATTAAATTTAAATTAATTCGAGTCGAGTCAAGTAGTATCACACGGGCAACAAGTGGTTAACACATCTACATATTTAGGACCCAAACTTAAATCTACTGATTTAATTAGCACAACATTGTATTTTGATATAGGTCTCAAACTTTTAATTGTCTTATTATGTTCTTAGCAGCAAATTATGATAATGAACTAAATAATAATAAAAAGATTGCTAAAGATCTACTTATGACCGTTTCAAAGAATGATGTGTAGTTTAATTTTATTATAACAATATAAACATAAAATAATTTTCTACGACATATTGATATCGATTGGCTTTTATAAAAAAAAAAAACTTGGATATGAAATCTTTTGAAACAAAATGCGGAACTACTAAGACCCTACTCATGTTGATGGTAGTGCGTATGAGAAATGTTTTGCGTATAAATGATTATGAAATAATTCGGGCAAGAAAATTTTTATGAAATAATAAAATGAAAATAATACACTTAAAACTGTTATATATATATAACTTACTATTTGAGATAAAAACACATGTCGGAGGGAATTAAAAGAATAATACGAAAACTGTTTCAATTAAGTCACCGTACGTGCCTTTTAAAATTCAAATCGGTATTATTTGCCGACAAAAAATTGTGAGGAAAAAAACATAATTTCAAGGACCATTTTTTTTTTGTTTTCCCTTCTTGCCATGAAATAGGTAAAATAACATTAAATAATGGTACTTCGCTTTTTTTAATTTTCAGCTCTCACTTATCCTACACCTCTCAAGTTATTTTACACAAATTTTCATTTTTTATAATAATAGTTTTAGGTGATTTTTTTTTTTTGCATTGCAAAATAGACATTCCAAGTTTTTCTATTTTTAATTGTAAGAAACATATAGAATTAGTTATGGATTTTAAAATTAGTCATTTCTTGCTTTTTATGTGCCATTTTCCTTTCAAGCTCTCGAGGTTGAACAAATTGAAATCCAAAAATAATAATTATATATTCAGCAAATATTACAAAATTTGGATTAATAAAACCCTCGTAAAAAAGGAATTGACATGATTTTATATGTTAAACCATTTCAAAGTCAGGCTGACAATAATTTGTAAGTAAGAAATAGTGAAATGGTAAATTAGATTAGTAAATTCACGGGTCAAACTGAATTAGTAGTTAGTAGAGATTTAATCCTGGTCAAAAAAGTTAGTAGATGTTTGAGGACGAATCGATGTCATCGTAAACCAAAAACATAGAATCATAAATTTGATGAATCAACTAAGGAATTTGCCAATAATTGTCAATAAAAGCAAACTTACAGCCCCATTTCTTGGAATATGCTTATCTGACCCTATTTATAAGGTAGAGAGATAAGATTTTTTTTAATTTTATTTGTAGGGCAATGAGATAAATTTTGTATGAATGTACAATTTTATATTTTATTTATTATTATGTTGATTTTTTTTATATAACATATAATGTATATTAAATAGAGATAAAATTAAAAAATTGTTGAGTTTTAAATGAGAATTAATAAAATTTAAAAAAAAATTTTAGTCTGTGTAAAATATATTAGAATTGACTTATAAATAAACCAGAAGAGTATATTCCATGGGGATATATACATTTCAAAAATTAATGTAATAAACAGTATGCAAATATACTGGTAAATTTTTTTTTACCCAAAAAATATATATTGGTAAAATTTTTAAAAGGGTCCACCAAGTGGATTAAACCCTGCTTCTCTAGCCTTGTCCTTCAAGCAAGGACAGCGTGGTCTTTTGGTGGGATTGAAATTAGAGATTTAAATAATTTTTTTTACTCATAGTAATATTTATTTTATTATTTTTTTAAAAAACCATAAGCTCTCTCCACTTCACATCTCCCCACATACTCTCTCCTCTCAAATAAATGCCCCCTGTCTCCTAAACTCCAAACCTTCCCAGCTGTCTCTCTTTTTTATATACATTTTATTTAAAAGTGGTGTTCCTTCATTTTTTAAAATATTATTAGTAAATTAAGGTATGACCAGTTCAACATTTAAATCTCTTTCCCATTTTTATATATATATATATATATATTACTTTTATGTGTTTAGGAGATTAGATTGAGATCAAGATTCAAGGCTCTCTTTCTCTCTCCTTCTTTCCCTGCGATTCTTTTCACATAATAAAGCCAGAAATATTATACCAAGTAAAGTCGTCTTTTTAATTTGACTCATTAATTCTTTTTATTAAATAAAAATTCACAACACAGACCCGCTTTGAAGTTCTACATATAGCCCAGCTAAGATTGAGCTAGACTCAACACACTCCTCTTTCTCTCTCTATCTCTGTCTCTCTGTCTCTCTCTATCTGTAACAGTAGTGTTGGTTGAAGTTTGAAGGAGGAATAATTGAGAGCGTAATGGCAGAAATGCTGAGTGAAGAACAGATTGTCGAGTTCAAAGAAGCGTTTTGCTTGTTTGATAAAGATGGAGATGGTAAGAGAAAGGAAGATTGAAACAGAGCTTCCTTTTTTTTTGCCCCCCTTTTCTCTGAGACGAAGTCTCTGTTTTTGTTGTTCTCTGTATCATTTTCTTCTGAGATTTCTGACACCACAATAATGTTTGGAATCTGTGAACAGGTTGTATTACTGTGGAAGAACTGGCGACGGTGATTCGGTCGTTGGATCAGAATCCGACGGAGGAAGAGCTTCAAGATATGATCAGCGAGGTGGATGCAGACGGCAACGGAACCATAGAATTCGCAGAGTTCTTGAACCTCATGGCCAAGAAGATGAAGGTAATATATTTAAGACTCAAACAACACGTTTTTCTGACTGATGGAAAAAATAGAAATTTAAACTAAAAGAGGACTCTATATTTATATGTATAGGAAACTGATGCGGAAGAGGAACTGAAGGAGGCGTTCAAGGTGTTTGACAAAGATCAAAATGGCTATATCTCAGCGAGTGAGGTATGTAATATTTATTTCTTATTTATTTTTATTTTTTGGGCATAATTTCATTTCTTTAATGTCTACTTGTTAACAGATTTTCTTTTATATTTTACTTATTTCCTATTTATAAAGTATTTTTAATATGTTTTAACTAAAAAAATACTGTATTAACTCTCCATTAAAATATAATAACTTTTTAATTTTATTTTTATTTAGTATATATACGTTTAAAAAAACTACTTACTATAATAAATAAAAGACAATATAGTATATTTATAGTAAAAATTTAATAAAGTGATTTATAAATAAACAAAGAGAATATTTTTTCCTAGAAGAATAATTTCTTATTATTTGTGTTTATTACTACTCAGAGCCAGAGAGCCCTGTTTCATCTTCTCTGTTACTGATCTTTTCTTGCAAGTGATGGCATGGATTTTCTTTTTCTCTCTGGAGCAAATTAGAGAATAGATAACAAAATGGGTTATGTGGGGTTCTCAAAACTATTTTGTTATGATAATATCTTCATTTATTTTTTCTGGGTTTTGAAATTTTTACCTGTTTCAATTATATATATATGTATATTCGCAAAGCAATCTTCATCATATATGTATAGTCTGAATCTTCATATAGTATTTTTTACATGGTAAGGGTGGGGGTGGTTAATAATTTATATGCGCATCTAGGACAGTACTTTGTACGTTTCCGCATGCAATGAATATTAGCTCTTTAAATAGAAAATTCTGGTTGGCAAAAAAGAAAAATCAATAGAAAATTCTGAGGTTTGACATTTGAGAGCCCAAGAGAATCTGACTCCTCTCTCTCCCTCTCTCCCTCTCCCTCTCTCTCCCTCTCTCCCTCTCCCCAGCTCTTTATTCAGGCCAGGCGTGTCTCTTAAATTTTAGGAAGATTCAGAGATCAATCTCACAAATGGCACGTTTTCATATAATTTTTTTTTGTATTTTTATATTCACATACATAACGAAGTTCATATTGACAAGGTAAGTTTATATTATTTCAAAACTTGTACAGCTCATAGCAGAAGAGAAATATTAATTACACGATATTTTAAGTTTTACCAAACTTTTGTATAATTTTAATTTTTTTTATGTTTCAAATATTTAATCCATTAGTCTTTACATTTTATAACTTACTTGGCTGAAGGATTAGTCTAACTTGATGAATTAAATTTCTTGAATTCAGTTGTGACCCAGTCAATTTTTTTGATGCTTTTAATGAAAATTTAAAAACTGTGTTAATTAAAAAGTAGTATAAATTAATTAAAATATCTGTTAAACTCTTTTTTTTTTTGAAAATATGATATATATCTAAAATTTATAAGTTGTGTCCTTTTTTTTTTCCGGTGCAGCTGAGGCATGTAATGATAAACTTAGGAGAGAAATTAACAGACGAGGAAGTGGATCAAATGATAAAAGAGGCTGATTTAGATGGTGATGGCCAAGTTAATTTCGATGAATTTGCCAAGATGATGACCACCATTGGTTGAATTTATTTCCTAAATTATATTTCTTATTATTCAATTATGCTTCATAATTTCCCTTTAAAATGTATTAATTATTATTGTTTTTTTTAATTTCCCCTTTTTTTTTGTTGTATTTTAATTACTCGTAGCTCCTTATGTGAATGACCCAGCATTTAGTTGTCACTTCAAAATCATCATTTGACTGTTCAACTTCTAAGTTATTAATTAATGAGATCTTATTCTTTTTATAACAAATTGAATCTCATGTTTATCTCTATCCTGTACATTTTTTTTCATTTATTTAATTTGTGACTTTTATTCTCAGTTCATTATAGTACATAATAAGAGAATGATAAGAAATAGGGATTTTTTTTTTCTGTGTTTAGTTTGATTATAGGTTTGGACTAAATCCAAACTAGATCAATCAAACAAATTATGTAAAATCTTGAGGCAAAAAAAAATCTGTAAAATGAAGGGCCTATTCAAGTTATGGTTTATAATTTTTGTCATTGTGTATATTTATATTTTCTTAATAATCTCATTAGACTTTAATCACGTTGTAGCTAAAATTCAAATGCTATTAAAAAATTTCGACCATATCATGTTATTTTTGACCTAAAACATTTTTATTACTATTATCATTTTGAAACGACTAAATCAATTCCGTCGGTTTTGATAGGAAAAATCCATTTTGATTTGACTTTGAACATAAGTACAAAAATTCAGCAATATAAATACTACCTCCGGTCCTTATTATAAGACCCCGTTTGACTTTTTGTTTGGTCCTAATTATAAGACCCCAATCTATTTTGTCTCTCATATTTATGCATTTTTTTCCAAGATAATCCTTCTAATAATGATAGTTCTAGCCAATATACTTAATTAGCAAGGATATTTTAGGAATGACAACACTTATTGATTACAAATAACTAACTTAACTTACTTCCTTAATCTCCTCAAATAAGTCAACTGGGTCTTATAATTAGGACCGGAGGTAGTATTATATGGCAAAATAATTGATAACATAATAGTAATACATAATGTCCTCTATTTTTGCAGTTAAGAATACCCAATGTTCAAACTCAACAATTAATAGTTGGCAAAAAAAAACAAACACTATAATTAATATTTTGTCCCGATCCAGTGCTTTATTAATTTTCATAATATGACAATGTTGAATAATGAGCATGGAAAATTTGTCTGCCACTTCTTGGCTTTCTTACATCAGAAACGTCAAATTTCAAGGAGTCTGTCATTTTCTTGACTGTTTTGCAATCCTCTGACTCATTCTTTTTGAACCTCTCGTACGATTGATTTATTTACTCGTTTATTAACAACCATATACTTTATGCATATGTAACACCTGTCTATAAAAAAAAAAACCTGTGAATAAATTATTTAATTAAATATACATTATTACACGCTCAGTGGTAGGCAATATTTCGTATGAATTAAGTATATATCTTTATTCTCTTGTTTTTTTTTTGGGACCATGATATATCTTTATTCTCGTTATATTTCAGTCCCCGAATTCATGTTCAAAAGGAGGTTTTGATTTTGACAACGTAACTATTTTTTTTTTTATTATGGATAAATATTCTTTAATTAGAAACAATCATATTCGAGAGAGTATAACTACTTTTGAGACTTGTATAATCACATTTACACTCTTGGCCCAGTAACATGATGAGTTGGGCCTACTTCTTTTTTATGTAATGGGCTCTATTTGCTTTGATGGGCCTCTATGGTTTTGAAGTTGAACTGCCACCTTCTAAACATGCCTTGGAAATAAGTCCAATTTAACTTGGGCCTGAGTAAATGAGCCTAACTTCTCCTTTCACAGAAGTGCCCAGAGTAATCAATCAAGGGGAAGGAAAAGAAATTGAGTCCCTCTTTTGCATATAGACTCTTTCATCTCATTTAAATATTTCACAAACATAATTCACATGCATATGGAATAATTTTCAGAATTACTTGTTATTTCTTAGCTCACGAATAATTATCAAAGAGTTACTCCGAAACTTTCAATAAGACTACGTGGGATCATAAACATTGATATCTATTAATACACTAATTAAAATTATTTGAGAATTATTATAAGGCTACTCCATAATGTTAAAACTACCCTCAGAAAAGCAACGTGTTGTGTTTGGGTATTATAACTATGTAGATGGAGATATTAATAAAAATAAAGCTAAGGGGCCCACTTGTTGATTTGGAAAGTTGAAGAGGCAACATGTGGACAACCAATCTGGGGATTTGGAGGGCTCTCTTCTTTCACACTGGAAAAGAATGAAGTGACTCAGATGCCACGGGTCGAAAAGCTACTACTGATACAAGTCAAAGAGGAGGTGGTGCAGGTGGGAGAGGAGCGAGAGGGATAAGAATTTACGTTTATTGGGTTATTAAAAAAAATATATCTCTTTATTTTAATTATACTTTATATTTTTTATGAGAATTAGATACAGATAATAGTATCTCGCTGTCCCCAAAGTTGTTTTTTTTATATGAATTTATAGTTTAATGATAATATGTTAAAAATAAAACAATAACCACGTGTAATTAGAGAAATTGATATAATAAATATAAACAATTTGAGCTCAACATTGTTCGAAAAAAACTTACTCTCAGTTATTCTAAAACTACATAAGAATCTTAAATTTACTTTCTTTAAAGAATTAATATATTATGCCTATAAACACACACAAGGTATAGAAATTACGTGGGCAAATTCGAAAATGCGGATGGTAGAGTGTGATGGGTGTGTGCTAATAAGGAGTGAAACTGATAGTGCTAACATGTTGAGATTATATGTTCTGGGTGAAAAGTGAAAAGCAATTTAAAGGATTAAAGGTTTTATCACACAAAAGCAATAAAAAAGTGTCCTTCGTTTAGGATTTTTTTTTTTTGGGGGCCATATCGCTTATTTATCTTGGGTGTTATCTAGATATCTCGATAAATTAATATCAAATTTTTAAAATGTTAAAATTTTTAGTTATTATACTATAATATTTTTTATCGTCCGCTGAATGATACAGTATATATTTACACACAAATATCTAAAATAATTATGTCAGTAAAATATTCGTTTATAATTTTTTTTTACATCATTTACGTGTAACGTTAATTTTAAAATATAGAATATTTCTCAGAAGGCATTATATATAGGTCACAATTCATTCTCTCAATTAAATCCTAACCAATAAAATATTACATCAGACGACAATAATAATGGCGCTTGGTCAAATTCCTCAACCTCTTCCAAGGACATCGCCAAGAATATGAATGATCATTGAAGCAAATATACCTCTCCAGTCTCCACCACTCAAAAAATACTTTTAATTCTAAATATATAATCTAGATTAATTAATTTGTGAGAATTAGTGTAGTTAACTAAGTTAGTTGTTTGCAATAAATATGTGTTGATTTTCTTAAAATATCTCTTTTAATTATTTTGCATTTAAAATTACCCCTTTAATATAAATTTTTTTAAATATGTACAGTAAATATAGAGGATTTAGAAGAAAAAAATTTATGTATCTTAGGATTGGAGATATGGTAAAAATAGAGCTCTATCTGAAGAAATTTGGCTTTTTGATCATGAAACAAATATAATTTAATTTACTCATTAACTTTGTCTAAAAATAAAATATTTTTTTAACTTTGCATGTAGCTAAGAGTATAAAGATACTTCTTATGTTCAGAATACAAAATCTAATTTGTAGTATAAATTTGCACTATAAACTAGACATTATATTTATGATCAAAGGTGGTATTAGATTTCAAGTCTCATCCTTACAAATTGTGACAGAGGTAATATTTAAATAAAAAATCATCAATTACGCTTCATCATTTCCCTTTAAAATGTATTAATTATTATTGTTTTTTTTAATTTCCCCTTTTCGTTGTTGTATTTTAATTATTTGTAGCCCATTATGTGAATGACCCAGCATTTAGTTGTCACTTCAAAATCATCATTGGACTTTTCAAATTCTGAGTCATTAATTAATTAGATCATATTCTTTTTATGCCAAATTGAATCTCATGTTTATCTCTATCCTCTACATTTTTTCATTTAACTTGTGGCTTTTATTTGTAGTTCACTATAATATATAATAAGAGAATGATAAGAACTAGGGATTTTTTTCCTGTGTTTAGTTTGATTGTAGGTTTGGACTAAATCCAAACTAGATCAATCAAATAAATTATGTAAAATCTTGAGGCAAAAAAAAAAAATCTGTAAAATGAAGGGCCTATTTAAGTTATGGTTTAGAATTTTTGTCACTTTTTTTTTGTATATTTATATTTTCTTAATAATCTCGTTAGGCTTTAATCACGTTGTAGCTAAGATTCAAATGCTATGAAAAAATTTCGACCACATCATGTTATTTTTGACCTAAAACATTTTTATTAGTATTATCATTTTGAAACGACTAAATCAATTCAGTCGGTCCTGATCGAAAAATTCTGTTTTGATTTGACTTTGAAAATATAGGAAGAATCTCAAAAAATATACCTTTAAAATTTTAAAATTCTAAATTAGGAATGACTAAAAGATATGTTGTTATTTGCTTTTCAAATATTGTTAATTGTTATTAAAGTGTAGTAAACAAGACTAATTTAAAATTTAAAGGTATTTTTTTAGAATTCTCACTTAAACATAACCACAAAATTCAACACAACATAAATATTATATGGCAAAATAATTGATAACATGATAGTAGTAGATAATGTCCTCTATTTTTCCAGTTAAGAATACGCAATGTTCAAACACAATAATCAATAGTTGTTAAAAAAAACACTATAATTATATATAGTTCATATTCCTGTTTTTTTTTTTTTTTGACTTAAGAAAACGAGAACCTTGCACTAAAAACACAGAAGCAATACACTGACAAAACGACCCTATAAACTAAGGACAGAAAGCAGCGAACCTATAAACTAATGAAGAAGTATCATTAATTCATACGAAACACTGCCTTCCACTTAGCGTGTAATAATGCATATTTAATTAAATAATTTATTCACAAGTACTACTTTCAGTCCTTAATATAAGAACTAGT